GCATTGTTATAATCTGCTATTGTGGTTCTTGTAGGGATCAATCTCAATTAGTATGTTGCTCCACCAAACAAGCTTTTGCTTTGTCTGTACACACTTGACCTCAGGACAAAAAGAAGGTGATGAACTAAGGAGAAACTCCGATGTCATGGAGATACTCAAGAAAACGAGGTTTCCTCGTGTCCATAGTTCAAAGCACGATGAGAAGTCCCCAGAGAATATCCTTCAGCATGAGTAAGACGATAATCGAACATCAAGAATTGAAAAATATTTTGCTTAAGATTCATGATCCAATTCATAATTGCATATCTTGATACTCTTTTGTTGATCTTTGTTGATTTAGTCGAGTAATATGGCTCGGGGACCTGAATTACCGGATAGCACTCTCTTATCGATCAGCAAAAGCACTTGTCGAGATGCAAAACTGGAGGGCATTACTAGAGAATGATCAGGTACATTGTAGTAACAGAGTGTTCACCTTTCTCGCCTTTTAGGATGTTCTGATCCGAAGAAAACTTTGTCGCAGTTACGGATAGAGCAAAGACGAGGCCATGTGTTTAAAGGATGGAACGAAGGGAAGATTTACTTCCCACCAACTTATAAATACTCGACTAACTCGGATAGATATGCAGGAGATGATTTGCATCCAAAGGAGAAACGTCGCACTCCTGCTTGGTAAGTTTCTTGCCCTCAGAAAAAGAAAAAAACAAGAACCTTGTAATGATCTGACAATGGTTGTTTCTTTTTGTTATCGAAGGTGTGATCGGATATTATGGCATGGAGAAGGACTGCATCAGTTATCTTATGTAAGAGGAGAGTCACGGTTCTCGGATCATAGACCGGTTTATGGCATATTCAACGCAGAGGTTGAGTCAAATCACAAGAGACTAAAGCAAACCGCCACTGCAAGGGTTGAAGCTGAAGAACTCTTACCTTACTACCGCGGATACACCGAGCTAACTTTTTTCTAAAAGAAGTACAGAATCGCTTCATTCGCGCTCTTCACGGTAACTTTCTCTATTCATAAAAAAATTATAAATCTAACCAGAAAATTAGGAGATAACAGAGAGAATGTAGTGTCAGTGACATGAAGCTATCAAAGACAAAGTAGTCCATTAGTAGTAGTGGTCCTGAAACTCTCAAAATAGAGACTAAGCAAGTCCATGAAGATTGGTTAGAATTTATTATATATGATCCAAGAAAGTAACCCACACGTTTCTTTCATATCATTTAAGGCATAACAGATTGATTTGGATAAAAATGGACCCGGTATAGCGATCTGTTTTTCGTGTTTTCGAATTCGAAGATTTGATAAGATATTCCCAAGATTTGTTCACGATGTTGTGTGATTCTTGAGAAAAACTTATCTTTTTCTAAAATTTGATAAGTGTTTATTATTGTACATTTCTCTTCATCATATTATTATCACTTATGGTAAATAATTTGATTCGGCTTTTGGCAGGTGAATTAAAGTGTGTTTTTTTTTTGAAGCCTTTGAAGAGTGATGATAGAGACATTTCATTGCTCCTTTTAACACAAAGGAAGCAAACAATAGGTTGGTCCAATTTCTCTTGTATGTCTGATTCCGGTTCGGTTTTCAATTCATTATAACCGGTAAGTTTCCGGTTTTACAGGTGTAAAGAGGCTTCTTAGTTAACCGATTTCGCTTAGCAAACCGGTTCTTTCTTTCTTTTTTCATGGATTTGCTAACTTTGGGAGGGCTTGATAGTAATGTTTACAGCATTATTGTTAGGTAATAATTTCATTTTAATCTCAATATAATAAGTTGGTAACAGTTTAACTTATTATAAAAAAACTTATGTTTTTGTGCAGGATTATGAAAACTAAAGAGATGAAAGTTTTTTTTTCAATTCATCTCATTTTTTTTTTTTAGTTTACTATTAGGGAATATAGTTTGTTTATAGTATTATGATAAGTTGAAGTCTGTTCCCGAGACAATGATAGTGTAATGCTTGTTACGTAAGGTTTAGCCGACTAAGTGTAACAAAAATGATTATACAGGAACAAAAGCAATTATTATAATCTTTATTCATTATCATGAGTGTTTTCTTACAAAGAAAAAGTGAAAAAGAATCAAAAGACAACGTCTTCTAGTTGTAATGATCATTGTACTACAAAAGTTTGGGTTTGTTGATAACCTCGAAGCTCACTCCTTCTCTGATTTTATATTGGAGTATACAAATTCAATGATTAATTTTACTAGGATTAATCATCAATCAAACAAAGAGCTTTTCGTAATATAAAATCATATGTTGAGATAAATGAAGGTCAACTGTTTGATCACTAAAATTAGTCAAAATATCAAATATTAACATATATTGCAAAATTGCAAGTATATATACAAATTTGCATTATTTGTAATTTTGTATAGCACTCCGTGCAAAAAGTTAAATAATTTTCAATCATTTTTTTAGTGTATTTACTGTAATTTATCTCAATAATATTTTTTCAGAATAATATACTGAAAATCAAATGTAAAAGAGAGAATAGTGTGAAGAGAAGGAAATGATTGAAAAAGAGCATGAAAGTGCAGAGAGTGTTTCGTGTAATCTCATGCTTTTTCTCCTTTTCCTATTTGCTCATGCTTTCTCTTGTTCCAGCTTTGGTGATTACAACAACACTTGTAAATTCTTTTTTTTTTCATGTATAAAAGTATATAAACTTGTAATAAAAAAAAGGTATTGTAAAATGTGAAGTCAGAGAATGATCAGTTCTAATTTTTTCATGGAAATTCATATTTTACAAAACATTAACAATTATATAAAGAAGGAATGAAAAGTGTGGTCCAAGACCAGAAAGTGTATATCAAAATGATTTACTTGAATACCTTCTTTTTTTTTTTGGTCACTAATTTACTTGAATACCTTTTAAAAGTAATCTTATTTGATAATTAAAATTTATCAGTATATTTGCTCCTCTTTTTTTTGGTATGAAATATTTGCTCCTCTTTACAAAATATCTCAACTCATTCCAACATCTATTGAGTATTTAAAACACAAATTAAATATAGACATTGATTCATCGTAGTTTCACAACTTTGATATTTGGTTTATTCATTGTTGTATATTGTAATTACTCATAAAATGTAACATAATTTTTGTCAACAGACGATATCTCATACACATACTCTGATAAATTACAACGGTAAATTAGGTTCACTTGCGTTGGAGGAAGAGCTTTTGGCTAAATGGTCTTCCACTGTTAATAGAAGACACAAAAGTTTTGAGCTGTGAGTTTTAGAAGACCTCGAAAAACATGAATGATCGAAGCATATAATTCATGTACAGCCTCCTTTGTGGAAGAATGTAATTGGAGATACCAACTTATACGTTGTTGGAGTACTGATTGGTGCAAATGAGATTGTGTTGTTGCCGCTCTTTCCACCTGACCATCTCTGCATTTTCTACTTTAACATCAAGAGAAACACTATTGTTAGAGTTGAAATCCAAGAAATGGAAGCATTTGGAAAGCGTAGTAGAATTCTCACATTTCAAAATTATGTGGAGAACGTTAAGCTTATGCAAGCGTTTTCGAACATTTTATAACTTGTAATTTTGTAACATTAGCTAGTTTGGCTCTTTAAACTCTCGTCGTAATGGGATCTTAGTTTAGTCCTTATCTTTCCACATGTTTTGTGTAGTCATCAATTTTTTTTTTTGGCATATTGGATTTATGAATTTGGTTTTTGTGATTGTCTACATTTGTTATGGTCGGATAACACTTGATGAGTCCCATTGTTTACACTTAACCGATTTGGTTCATACACAGAGAAATGGTTGGTTCTAAGCTTTGTAGCTATATAATTTGGTGATCCTCTGATTTGAACTTGTGACTATAGCCAGTTAAATTAATGGCTTTTGTAATTCATAATGTAATATTTTTTTCTACATACACATGAAAATCCAGGTACTTGGTTTGTAAAATGATTTTGGCAAGACACTAACAAACAAAAGCAGAAAACAAAGAATGTGAAATTAATGTTTCATTTTGTTTCCACCGAATTTTGTCACGTTTGACAATACGGGCCCTAATGTTATGGGCTACATGGGCTTTATTTTCAACCAAGCACTAACATGAGTGAGATAAACTTAAACTCAGTTTTTTTTTTTTTTACTTTAATTCTTAACTTTCGAAAACGATACGAGCTCAGGGGAGGAAATCTAGGGTTTAGAGCAGTGTTCGCCACCATGATCACACGCCGGAGAAACATCTCCGATGATCGTCTAACCATTTCCGGACGCAATACGCGATCGAAGATTTCAGTTGATGGTGGAGAAAACTCATTGCCGATCCCCAATTGATCTCATTTTCGAGATTTTCTCGAGATTACCGACGAAATCAATTGCAAGTTGTCGTTGCGTATCGAAGCTCTGGGCTTCCATGCTTCGCCGACCAGATTTCACTGAATTGTTCTTTACCAAGTCTTCGGCTAGACCGCTGCTGTTGTTCTCCAGCGTAAAAGACGGTGAGTTGTTCTTATTCTCGTCGTCTCAGGTCCAAAATCCGAATGAGAAGTCGTCTATTGTAGCCGCCAATTATCTTACTAAGTTCCCAGTTAATCATTCATCTGAAATGTATGGTCTTGTCCACGGTTTGATCTTCCTTAGTCATCTTCGGATCTCCAATNGAAGGAAGGAAACGGTGCCAGTGATATATATAACCCCAGCACCGGACAATCCTTACCTTTACCCAGATTGAAGACGACGAGGACTTCGGTGGACAGCTTTTTCGGGTACGATCCGATTGATAAACAGTACAAGGTATTATCCTTGACCTGGCCAACTGTTAGAAGAGATAGGATTTCTGAGAAGCATAAAGTTTTGACATTAGGAACCAAAAAGTTGGCTTGGAGAATGGTCGAATGTTGCCCACATTTTCCTGCGTATCATGGGATATGCATCGATGGTGTTTTGTATTACCTAGCTTTGGTCAATGGGCCTCCGAGATGTGCATTAGCTTGCTTTGATGTTAGGTCTGAGAAGTATAGATTTATTAACAGAAATGAGGATATGGCACTTTTTAGTGATTCGACGCTGGTAAACTACAAGGGGAAGTTAGGTGCACTTCTGACAGATGGGATAAACGAACTTACTGAAGAAAGTACATGTTTTGAGTTGTGGGTTCTAGTAGACACCGAGAAACATGAATGGTCGAAGCATGTATACGCATTGCCTGATTCATGGAAGGATGTAATTGGAGATGTCAAGTCATACTTTGAGAGAGAGAGAGGCCAAGTTGTACTTTGTTGGACTGACTGTTACAAATGATGTTGTGTTGTCGCCGCGCTATATACCCGACCCTTTCTATGTTTTCTACTACAGCCTCGAGAGGAAAACTATCAAAAGAGTTGAAATCCAAGGAATGGATGCGTTTAAGGATTCTAAAGTTTCACATGCTTGTAAAGTTAACATCTTTCTAAACCATGTAGAGGATGTGAAACTTATGCAAGGGGTTTAGGAATTAATAACTTGAGATTTTGTATCTCGGACAAATGAAATAGTTTTGTCGCCGTACTTCATAGACCCAACCGAGCCTTTCTACTACAATATGGAGAGAAACACGCTCGTAAGAGTTGAAATCCAAGGAATGGAAGCATGTAAGGATGATAAAGTCTACGCCTATTTAGACCATGTCGAGGATGTGAAGTTAATGCAAATGTTTTGATTATGAGTTTATAATTTGAGATGACCAACAGATAATGCGCTTTAATACAGTCCTTATGCTATCGGATGACTATTTTCTGTGTGTTTATTGTCTTGTTTTCACTAAGGAGCTACAGTTGTGGTAAGATAAGTGTTTGAGCTTTTTTAGCAAATAAAATGATAAGTTTTAGCTTTGTATATAATCTTCTCTTTCTCCACTTTGAGAATTTGTATCTACAAGAGTTGTTCTACGTTTTTGGCCAAAAACCAAAAACAACAACTATAAGGAAATTTGTTTGCCTAAATTG